AAGCATATGCATGATGCCGTACAGGGTTGCCATATGCTTTTCGGCAGCCTTACTAGTGAGGTTGCGAAATATTTGCGAAATGCGTTCGTTAGGCTTACGATGGGAGTAATTGTATATAATTTAAGGCTGGAAGTGATGGATCCGCGTAAAATATACAAAACTGACCAGATTTGGTTACCTAAGATGGGTTCTTTATACCAAGTTAGATAGACTACATGGTTGTTATTAATGTGAATGACCTCATTAGCAACAGCTTCAACCTTTTTCCATATTAGACTTGTATGGGCGCACGTTCAAGGAGGACGCCCTAAAATCAAGTTTAATAGATTGGGAGCGAGTCGGTTGTCCGATGTCTTTTTGCGTGTTAGCGCTGGATCCATGGACCCCCAGTGGGATTGGCAGACGGTACACCTACGATCTAACCTAACTTTTGGTAGACTATATTATATTTCGAAGACCTTATCAAAGGTCAAGTTGGTGGAAAACAAACACAGATTTGATTTGCCGATCTCTATACGGAACTAATCCGTCAAAAGCAGCGTGAAATATATTGCTAAGGCATCCTCGAAGGCTTGACAATGCGATAAAAGTATAAAACGATTGGAAAATGAAAATATTTCCGAAAACAAAATTCTGTTTTTCAGGACTGCCTGGCAACTCTACACTCGTTTATGTGTAGCTGTAGCCCAAAGTGCCCGGGGAAGTGTGTGAGCATTTTCAATTTCAATTATGCCTTTAAACATTTGATTATCATAACACATCAGCAATTATTGCGGCAACAACATCAGCTCGCATAACAACAATAAAAAGAAAAACAAGGCACGCTGGCCTGTTCGTCAATTCAACCATAAAAGATGCCACGCAAGCAATTTTTGTGTGCAATTTTTAGCAGAGAAAATTAAAATTCAATGAAAATTGGAAAAATAATTTGCTACACTGCCGCAGCAGCTGCTTGCAGCGCACAATTTCAAGTACATTGTCAGTATGTGTTTGTTGTGCAAAAAATTTGCAACACTTTAAGCGTCGATAAATGCACACGTTGGCGGTGCACGCAAGCCACCACACTTGGTGTTTTCTAATTTATTTACGCGCTGCCGTAAGAGCAACGAATGCGCCTTTGAAACTTAATGGGCAAAAAGCGCCCACACACGCTCGCAAAAATGGCTACAAAAAAAGCGGCAACTTTGACTGAATATTAATTTCTGTTTGGATGTGTGTAACACAACTCGTTTGCTAGCAACGTATAGATGTGCGAGTGTGTGCGTGAAGCCACTGTTTTTTTTTTTCGTTTTGAAGAGCGCCGCCGCCCGCTACCTCTTGCATATGCGAAACTAAAAGTAACTGTCTGCCAAATTGATTTCCAACTGCGCAGTTATACACTTCCAACCACACATACACACACACACAGGTGCACTTGCGGCAAGCGCAGTTGACAGAGAAAATAGCAAAAGTGCCAAACTTCAGAAATCACTTCACTATACTCGTTTGAATTTCATTTCTTTTGCGCTAAGCTCACAAGCACGCACACATGCACTCACATATGCATATATGCATATACAAGTACATGTGTATACAAGCAGTGAAGGCAGCACGCGGCGTATGTGGTTGGTGCGGGGTGTAGCTTTGAATTGTTGAGACCACCTGCCAGGCAGCGCACAGCAGCGACAAGGAGAAAGCGCAAATTTGCAGGAATATTGGCAGAGAAACACACACAGGCACATATTTCTGTGGGATATACAAGCACGGGAGTGTGTGTATAAGCAAAGCGCACATTATTTAGCCATTTTCTTTGGCACATACACACACACACCTGTAAAAAACGTGAACTGTATACACTCACAATTTCTTGTTACCAATTTCACGCGTCTCTAACGCGAATTCTACCACTACACCCTCACGTCATTTATCATAACGGCCGGGCGGCTATAAATATGCTATGTGCTGTCTCTACACATACATATGCAAACGAGTTGGCGGCACTTTAGCGAGCGCACAACAACAACTGACTGCTTTCATTTGCCGTTTTCTGCGTGCGCTTTGTGATTCTTGGTGTCGCATGAAATTGAGTGCCTACAAGTATGCTATGCTATGCAGGAAAAACTAGCGCCTAAAAGCAGCTGACAGATTGTGGGAATTTCTTAATATACAAGCATACAGTTACGGATTTTATTACAGCGAAAGTGTTAGATTGCTTTTAGGCGCTGAAACGTCTATATACATTACTGCCGCCTCCAAGGGAAATAAATGAATTCCACTTATTGCATTTGTGGTGTCGCATCTCATTTCAATGCAAATCTCTTCAAGTTACAGCGAAAAATACATGTAAAAATGCGTGGGAGCGTACGTAGATATGAATAAATAATTTGCAGTTCAATTTTGTTTTCCTACAGTTTCAAGGTGAAGGTATAATAACTTGTTTAGTTTCTGAGAATCTGTGGAAAAGTGTGCCGCAAATTGCTTCTGTGGAAAGCAGTTGGCTTTTAGTCGTAAAATCCGGTTTATAGAAATTTTTACATTCGCTGAAATGTAATTTGGATTTTTTCCTTCCTCATAATCTACATTTCAGATAAATTTCAGCGGAAGGTTAGCAAATGTGGTGGAAGCTCTATTGAAAAATGAAGATGCTCTAGTTGTGGACTGAACAAGAGCCAATGACTTTGTAAAAGTCAAGTTTTGCCTATATACACTTTCAAAAGAGTTCTTAACGGCAGCCACTTGGCGCAACCACTTTAGAAATCTTCCAAAAATTCATCCCTTCTTTACACTTTGAAGTTAAGGCATCCACGCCAAAACAGCCTTAAATCTATTCAAGGATTGGTAAAGTCTTCAAAAAGTTCTCATTAAGAGGCAAATAACTATTTAAAGCCCTTCGAATAAACCAATTGTCACTAAAGCCAAAACTTTGCGTGAAGTTCAGCGACCTAAGTGCTGCTTTTCGATAAGTTGTCAAATAAAAAGTTATTCTCCCAGCAATTCCCTCCGGTAAAATCAGTATTTGCATGACTATATATCAAAGCTATATCTTATTTAAATTCATTATACCATAATCTAGTGGAATCACTGCAAGCACGCTTAAACTTCCACCTTATTAAAATCTGTTTGCATACCTCAAGGCTTAATAACAGTAAGCATTCATACCGAGCACCAATTGCTATTGCTTTTTTATAGACGACGCTGAAATACTACCGCCATATCACGTAGCGAGCGGAGCCTTTTGCATTACGTATCATATCAACTGCACAGCTCTCTGTCGCTCTAGAAGATTATGGCTAAGACTTTGCGCATAGTATGTAGAAAACGCATTAGTTTCTAATGCGCTATCAATTTATTTTATTACCAGCACACACACATATACATACACTCATACTAGCCCATAGTCACCTGAACGTGGCTCATTTGCTTACTACACAGTAGCTGAGACCATCACACGCTTCATCTATTCACACTAAACAAAAAGCATTAAACATTTCTTATCGCTTTCCTTAATTTTCAATTATTTTCAAGCATCGCATGAAAGAGAAAATGTGTGATTGAAGTGAGTGTGGGCGAAGGGTCTCAAAGTGTGGCAGCAGCTGCGACAGTGTAAGTGAAAGTGAAGATGCAGATAAAGACAGTGTTTCACATGAATTTGATAATATTTTTGTATGCTATTTTAATTACAATAATAAACCGATAGGAAATTTCAACGAAAAGCGGAGGACTTAGCACCACTTTCCGCTGCAGCGAATTCTATTGAAAGAGCGCGTACTTGGAACGCGCTTTAGTTGACGCCGATGACAATAGTAGGCATACTATCAACACACATTGCTTAGAAAGCCATTATAATAACAACCACAGCAGCTAAGAAACGGACCCAGATTTTTTTCGAGCTAAGGTCTTCCAACTTAGCAGCCTCTTGTAATATTATGTGGCAATTTGTTCTTACCGTTACAACAACAAATAGCTGAGGCATTGCTCGTTTTTCCCGCAAAAGCAAATTTCATAATCCCGCATGCATTCTTAGCTGCTGAGCGTTGGTCTTACAACTCAAGCTGCTGTTATATATTCAAATAAGCGCTGCACTCAAATATTTCTCTTCGCTTACCCATCGCCCGCATCACACAATTTGCGCATTGTTATCCAGGCTGTAGCATCTGACACAAACCATAATCCGCGGTGTTGTTTACACCCACAGTTAGGTAAATAGCGTGTCAGCAGCTTGGTTGCCGGCTTTTGTTGTCCGGCAGGTGACAATATTGCATTTCTACGGTAGCGGCAGTCACAACAACAACGCCACACTCTAAAAGGCACGGCTTACCAAAATGTATAACATCTTTTCATCGCCACACACCATCAAATTTCGCTTGCATCTCTCACACCATTGCCTTATCATCATCATCAACGCTTGCCTGCTGTGGCCTATCGCTCCAGCCGCTCACACCCTTGCTGTCGCACTCACCCGCTTAGTTGGCGAATATGTCCTTTGCTCTTATGCCACCAAAGCCGGGTAATTTATTATTGTTATTGCTGGCATGGAATATTTTTTATGTCTTCGCTTAACCCTTTTTCGTATGCACACACACCCCGTTAGCGGTGCCGGCAACAACGCCAGCTCGGAGAAAGCATCTGCGTATGTGTGCACAGGTGCTTTTGCCACTTTGGCTGCATCCTTCCTGTTGCCATAAGTCAAACAAGTGTTTCCTGTGTGTGGCGCGCGAATTTTTCACAACCGGCACTTTTTGTTCCCTTTCATTTTATTTTTATTTACTATTTATGCTTCGTGCTCCGCCCATAAACACCCTCACATATATATTTGTGTTGTTTCGCATTTTCACACGCTGGTTTGGTTCTCGTTTTTTATTTTTATTCAACTTTCCTTACACTGCCCTGCCACCCTTTTGAAACACACTCAATTGCTTTGTTTTCCCCCGCTTATAACAAAATAAATAAACAAATAAATACGGTCGCCGCCGATAACAAAAGCGCGAATATAAATAACTGTGACTGCCAACAATTCTTACCTTGCATTATTTACTGTCTCAGCGTGTCTGCCAGCAGCGCATTCTTATTTGTTTGGACATTCCTTATGTTAAATGCCTTCCGACTTCTGTCAGCCACTTAAGCTGCTGCCACCGAGTGTCCACTTCCGCGGCAAGACACTTTCTGCATGGATTTTCACTGCTTTCTACTCTTCACTTCACTACACACACGCACACATTTTACACTCTTCACACTAAACACTACACAAGACATATTTTCACATTTTCACACTTTCCACTTGCACTTTATAGCACTCTGCCCTAACACATGATTTACGGATTATTGCCTTTTATTTATTTTACTTTATTATTTATACTAAATCTCACTTTGCACTGAACTACAAACACCCTTTTCACTCAATTGCACGCACTTTTGCACTTTTTATTTTTAACTTTACTTTTATTTGCACTAAATCACAATTTCGTATTTAATTACGCGCACTTTATTTTTATTTGATCAGCACTATTTGTTTACATTTCTTCTTCTTGCTGTTGAGCTCGGTCAGCACATATCTAACACAGCGTGTAGAGTGCGCTCGGTGTTAAATATCCGAGAACGCATGATCGCCATACGAGGCTTTTGCAGGCGATTAGGCTATAAGGAAATGAAACAAAAAATGAAAGTTATACAAGCATATAAATATATATTTTTGATGAACATGCAAATATAATTGAATTTAATACACAATAATATAAATAAAGACTAAACACAAGTGTAAAATTTGAAAGTTATACAATAAATTAGAAAATATAGAAATTTTTGAGAAAGGGTTGCCACCTATTTTCTTTTCGGGAAAAAAATTTAGCTCACTTTTGAAATGACAGTTAGCATTTCTGTTTTAAGTGTAATTAAACTTTTTTTTTAATAAAATATATAATGAAATGCATTGAAAATACCCAAATAATATACATAATTAATGGTATACATTGGCAATACCAAAATCAAATATATAACTAATTTGTAAAAAAAAAAAAAAATTAACGCCGGAAACCCTGTAAAGCATACTATACATATATATGAGTATGACAAGCTTAGTCGATTTACCAGCTTCGGCTGTTTGTCCGTATACCCACGTTCTGAAATTTTCTACACGTCATATTCTGACCAAGAAGCTGCCTATTTGTCGAAACCGTCGATTTCAGACCATTATACAAGCTATGTGCTGCCATACAAACGGACCAATCAAAATAAAGGCAAAAGCCTTTGTATACTCTTCTTTGCTTTGGAAAGGCATATGAAGCGTATTCTTCAGTGTAACCGAGCTTAACGTAATTTCTTTCTTTTTTCTTATTGTTGCCATGGGAAATTGTGTAAAACTATAAAAATAATAATATATGTAGATAGTTCGTTTTCAAAATTATAATTGAATATAATACCGTGTGCAAAAATTAGTAAGATTTTTAAATTTAAATTTCGCGCGAAAACCCATCATTAAAGGTAAAGTTTTTGTCAGAGTTGCCATGTTAAATTTTGAAAAAAAAAGTAAAACTTCGGTGGGATGTCTGACGGTGTGCGTTCCCAAGTGTCTAAGTCTTGACCTCCCAAATGCGGGACAGTCAAGAAGAAAGTGCGGAGTTGTTTCTACCGCATCTTTTTTCAAATAGCTTCTGCTGAGGGCGTCGGTAAATGGGCAGGGAAGGAGCCGCCAGAGTTCGGTTTGCCGACTCCATAATCCAGACGATCCGGTATGCAGTCAATGTGTGTGAGGATATCCGAGTGCTTACATAGATACGCGTTGTTTTACGAACCAGGATTCTCTGAGTCTAATAGCCACCTACGCGGCCATGCATGAAAATAATTGCTTAACAATATGGCAATGCAAATGATTTCGGTGATTTTGCCGCAACTTACAAATACAGTAAGTTTTAAACAAGCACAGCATGAACAGATATTTTTCGACAATTTTAATGACAACCTTTTGATAAAAAAATTACATACGCACAACTTCAAAAATTGTTAAAAAAAAATTAAATAATTTTAAAAATTATTATTTTTGTTTCGTATGCACAGTTAAGCCAGTTAGTGGTTTCCAGGGTAATTGCCTATAAAAATTTCTTATAAAACTTGCGCAACCATTACTTGAAGTATGATGAAAAGCAGCGGCAAACAAAACTGCAAAACTCAAGATGAGAGAACTTGTAGCTTAAAAGGAGACAAAACAAGTTTTTGGTGCAATTTTTTTTCTTTTCTTTTGCATAAGTGTAGTAACAAGCAATGAAAATAATAACACAAATGAATGTTGAAGATTGAAGAAAGTAAATGCAATGTGAAAGTAACACAAAAAATAGTCAAAAAATAAAGAATGGCGCTTGCAAAAGAAAGGTTACCAAAGGTATCACGCGTAGTTTAAGGCACACACACGTGCGCACTTGCTCATGCATTGTGTTGCATACCGTGAGGCGCCAAAACTTGCCACCAGCAATCGTATGCTGCTTGCATTCTTGTCTTTGCAGCGTTTTTTGTACTTTTTTTTTGCGACAACCACCAACATTTATGAGCATTTCGGGCGCTCAAAATGAGGGTGCGGCAAGGTAAGCAGCAATGTAAGAAACAGCAAGAAATTACCAGAGCAAAATCTTGCGTACTTTTGCATGCCGTAAATAGTGTTGCAAAACTTTATTTGCAACACACGCAGCTGCAAGTAAGTGCCACGAAAGGTGCGAGAAATGTTTTTACAAGCGCCACAGGGAGCAACACTTTACATATGCTTGCCTACATTTAGGCGCCAAGAAATATTTTCAAAACACGTGCGCCACTAGTTAACAGCTATATATAAATTGAAGGAATTTGGTCTTACCCAGCGAGTTAAGTGCTTTAAGTTATCGCGTAAGTGTCGGTTTGCTTCGCGACGCAACAAGGTTTAAGCCTAACAGTTAAACAAGCTTAATGTAGGAAGGTCAGTAATCTGCTGCCCAAAAGTAACTGAAACGCGGTTTGTGGCCACAATACTTTCTGAAAGTTTACTGAGTAACAAGCGGTTTCAATTTGGGAACTATTCCCAGATTTATAAAGAGCTTGTCAGGGAAGGACTGATGTTCTTTCACCGCAACTGTACGTCGGAGCGTGCGCGCACCGACTGGGTTCGGTAGAGGGCGTTCCTAGTTAACGAACTAGCCGTCAGTTGTCTCTTAGAACATGTAGAGTCAGGACAAACATTTTCGCGCGACGTGTTTCTTTGAGTGGTGCAAGTCACAAATGCAACGTTCGTTAGAGCAGAGGTGAAATAACGTAATCACAAACTGACGAGTCATGGATCTTTGAGTATGATCCTGAGACAAAGGGAGCAATCTTCCAAGTGGCATACGCCGGCGTCTCCTCAGTGCTCAAGAGACCCAAACGAAGGGTCAATCGGGTCCGAGAAGACACCACAGTCGATTGGAAGTTGCAACAGGACAATGCCTTCTGCAGTCGCCCTACAGCACCCGGACCGATGAAAGGCAAGCATTTTGAGACGACAGAGAGGATCCAAGCAGCACGCACCTCGGCTCTCAAAGTTATTCCGCAGAATGTCTTCCGTGACCCCTCCAACGCTTGGAAATGGCGCTGGCAGCGCTGCATCGACGCAGAAGGAGCCTAGTTTGAAAATTTTTAAAGAATTGTAACGATTGGTTACAATACATTTTTTTAAATCGACTCCGTCCCATTACTTTCCGGACAAATCCTGAAAGAGAGCGTCCTTCGGGCTTTTCAAAGTTAAATTTATGCAATTATCACTAAATAATAACAATTTCAACTAATTTTGCTAGCGAGTTGTCGATTCTCAGCAAAACTCATTGCGCACAAATGTATGCTACAAATTAACAAACTTCATTCCTCTCAACCGCCTAAATGAATGCCACAAAAGTGAGAAAATCTCACTCACCTTCAAAGAGCTCTATTTAGCACAAAGTTATAAGCGCATCAAATAACATTTCAAAAGCGCCGACGCCGCAGAAAGCAACTTCATTACATTGCTACGCGCCGCGGGTCATTTGCCAGTGAGAAAATAATGTGGCATTAAAGGCAAAAAAGCAAAAGTTGTAAAAACAAGCCACACATATTAAAAGGCAAATTAAAGAAATGAAAAGTAATAACAAAAATTGCAGCGTATAATTGAGCTTTATGCGCCGTTGGCTATTAGCCGCGAGCCACATTTAGTTATCAATGCCCGGTACCAGACCGCAGCGCAGATGTGAGCTTTGTGGTGGAAGGATAGGAGGAGGGGCCGGTCACACCTGTGCGCTTGTGGCGGCCAGCAGTTGCAGTGACACTCGACCGGCGCTCGGCTTGTTGTGCTAGCGAAAACAGCTGACGCCTGGCGACCAACAACAACAAGTACAACAAGCGTGCTGAGCACTTGCTGACCAGGCAACTAATGAGCGGCGAGTGTGTGTGTGTGTGTTGGCTTTGAGCGAAAAAAGTGTGAATGATAACACGAAAAGTGCGCGGAGCGGGAAGTTCATTGAAGCAAGTAAGTGTGTTCGCAAGGCTTTTGTGCAGCGTATTTACAGCGTGGCAACTGCAAAGTTTTGATTAAAACTCATTTAAGCTATTTGCGCTCACCCTCGCACCCCCGCGCTACACTTCATTTGCAACTCGTCGCACTCGCGTATATTTTTTCTTTTCATTTCGCGATTTTTTTTTTATTTTTTCTGCCTTTCATTTCGTTTTATCACACGGGCAGTTCGTTTTCTATATTCTATTTTCCATTTCCCATTCCATTCGCACTTTCCATTTACATTTCGCTGCTCTTCATTTGCACTTAATGATGATTTTTTATGCACTCGTAAATGCGCGCATCTCATTTAGTTTGTATTTAACGACGGCCCGTGAATAAGCGTTGCCGCCACTTGCACGCCGTTTCACTTTTCACCGCCTCCTGCCCTCGACAGGCGCCGTTCGTGCATACTTTTCACTAATGAATCCGATTAGCTGGCGTATTTGAGTGGTCGCCTGCTGATTGACTGACTGCCTAACTGCTTGGCTGCGTTTACTTTGGGGCAGAAGACACTAATTTGAACAAAAAAAAAATAATAATAATTTAAATGTCAAATGAGTGGCAGCATTAAAATTCGAACGATGGAGGTGCGAAGATTGGGCAGGTAAGTCAACTTAAACAGTGCTACGAGCGTCGGTTAGTATCTTACCCAAACACTTGGTGGCGACAATAAAGTGCGTAATTGTTATTTACTCGTAAATTCTTTGAAATACTTTGAAATCATTCGAGAATTACTCTAAATATGCCGAGAGTGCATGAGCTGAGTAGAAAATAGCGACAACTGTACTAATATTCCTAGTTAGGTTAGGTTAAGACGACAATTCGATCCTGAAATGGACCTCACTCGGACAGGATGGGTAAGGTTAAGAGGATGCCTTTGAGGATCGGGACCTCACTTGGACAGGATCTGGTTCCAGTCCTAAAAACTCCTAAGTACTGGATTATAAGACCCTTACAGATAGACAAAAGGCTTGAGTCAATCCTAAATTGGTTGAGGTGACTAATATCAGCTTTGGTAAGGTTACCGATTTGTTTCGGCCTTCGTTTTGCTAAGGCTTGACAATGGAGGAGAAAGTGTGATTTCCCCCTCAGTCCCCTGCGAACAACTTTGACAACT